GCACTTAAAAGGTCAATGAAGGGCAGTCAATTTTATTCAAAATTTAAGGTGAATGCTGGACTTTATTCATGTTTTACTGTAAATTTTATAGCTCCATATTACATACGCTAAATTGCAGGACAATATAAGTAATGCATGTCTTTCATATTGTAATCCTTTTACCTTCTACATTTTTTAAATGGTCCTATAATGGGAATCAATCTTAGTAATAAGTTATGGGATGATCGATCGTAAAAGATATGAAAAAACCGCTGCTGAAAAACATTTAAACGAGGCAACAGTTTTCCAGGCTGTTTTCTTACTGAATAAACGCCAATTGAGCAAACAACTTTTTGCTTCAAATGGTGCATGGTGGGGATTTTTAAGCAGTGATGGTAGCATACAGCAATTCAAAATAGGTACGCATTGTGTACATGTTTCATATGGTGCTCGGTGGAGATATGTAACTAATGATGATGGCATACAGCAATCTAAAATAGGTACGCAATGTGTACATGCTTTATATGGTGCTCAGTGGAGATTTGTAAGCAGTTATGGTGGCATGCAGCAATTCAAACTAGGTACGCATTGTGTACATGCTTTATAAGGTGCTCGGTGGAGATTTGTAAACAGTGATGGTGGCATACAGCAGTTCAAAATAGGTACGCATTGTGTACATCTGGGCAGCCTCACAAATTTATAGACACAATGAAATAGATTATTAAAGTAGTTGAAATAATGATAAATATTTAATATTCTTTACACCAAACTTGTTCAAAATCTGAAAAACTGTTTTGTGCTCATTGTTCATTGAAATTACTCGACAACTGTCAAAACTTTTGAATTTCTTAAATGTCATCGCTCAGACTGCATGTCAGAAAACTGTGACCTCGCTCATATTTTAAAAAATATCTTGCAAATTCTATGAACGAATACGTGTCATTTTCATTCAAAATAGTTTTTTGCTATAAACATCATACACACTAATCCCATGTAAAGTATTATATTTTGAAATTGGTCGTTTTTAGTTGATATGACGATATATATTGATAAGTGTAGATATCAAAAGATAAATTGACCTGATTCTTATCAGCACAAAGTACATGCGAACATTAAATTTTTCAAAGGTAACAAAACGGCTCAAAGCAAATAACAGAGCCTTCAAACTATAAAAAAACACGCTGGCAACTTCAGCCATTTCTTTTTGCTTTTGTCCTCAGGAAATTACATTAATTAATTCCTGCATAAAATATTTTCCGTAAAATCAGAAAATAGGCCTAGCAAGATATCTTTTGAACAGGCTAACCAAGCACTACAAATTAAACTTTTTCATAACCAATCGCAAGTGACATTGGTAAAATGATGTTACAGAAAATATCAGACGATTATGCACTTTGCATTTACCATGAGTGCCATGAGATAAAGACAGAACTATAGACAGACAGACATCATCCGTGCAAAACGTTCAGAACTTACGTTTACTACATAAAAAGATAACAAGTCATAATTTCTTGGAGATTAACATTTCTTCTTGTATTTTCACCATAGAACTTAAGAGCATGTAAGGATATTTAAAGGAAAATAATGGTGACGTCACAGACATGCTATTATTAGTAAATTAAAAATTATGTTTTTTTTGTGTTGCTACAGTTAATGGCAAAATACGTACATATATTCATTAAAAACCAATAAATCACTGAGTACAGATTACACAGGTCAGTTCTTTTCCATGAATATATGGTGGACAAGGTAAAGCAACACCACAATTGCCTTTAACAAGATCCAATAATGCTCCATTTGCATGAGATCCAAGTATTGCTTCTGGCTTGACATCAACACAAATGTACTCATATCGCTTGTTTTCATGATTTACAGCCATTAAATAACCTTTCTATTCCATAGTCCATCCTGAAGGACAGATGATGCGCGCTGGAATCATCATGTGACTACCACCTGACTTAAAATGACATACAGCACACGGAGCATCTCGGTCGTGTAAGTTTGGATTTGAAAATATATGTTTCTCAGCAGAAGTAATCTCGTATTCAGTACCATAAATGAGTGCTTTACTCTGAGCACCAGCAGCATATTTTACGTATATTGGATTCAATGGTAAACAGAGATAAGTTGCTCCACTCCCATTATGTAAATAATGTGATCATCCTATTGCTCCTATTTTTCAAAAAAATATGCTTTAGAACTGCAACTAATGAATACGACTACTTGATTTTTACAAAAACTTAGGTTATCATACAAAGGTCGATTCGCGTATATTACGTCGAACATTTACAGTTAAAAAGAAATGTGACAGCCCAGTTTTACGTTCTGAGCGCATAAAAAATTATAATTAGCATACTTAATGAAATTCTTATGCCTGATTCACACGAGTGAAATAAACAAAATCAAGAGTGTTATCATGATTAAACAATGACATTCATCAAAGAATTTGACACAGGCGTAAGTGATGAGGGGAACGGCTCTAAAAAAGTTTGATGATTGATCGGTGAATTGTCAACATCAACAGCAGGTCGGGCCAAAAAACAAGTCATAAAGAAGTTATGACATACAATTTGAAGTCAAGAAGTCTGTTGTTTGATTGTGAGTAGATGCAAGCAAAAGGGAAATACTTTATCTTAAAATAAATAGAAAGCCGATTTCTTTGTATTTTAAACCATTAGAAAATACTCAAAATAGGAAACAGAAGTTTTATCGCTCATACATACTTATTTTACTTGCTTAAACCTATACTGGTTGTAGCTAAATCATGAATCACAAATACGTAGATTTTCTGATTAACTTTCTTACCAGAATAAATCTCAACAGTTTTCGCTGTGTTAGGACAATGTGTTAGGACTTTCTTCCCCATCTAGTGTAGACCACTCCACCGGTTGAAGTGGTATTAACTTTAGGTCCCAGCCTTCTGATATTTTCTGAAGAATATCGCTGCAGGATTTGCCTGGTGACTTGATGGTACCATACTGAAATTAATATGTTTGTATATATTAGTGTTAATATCACGTCTCGTTGAATATATCATTTTTGAATAGTTGCAAAGATATTTACTGACAAACGAATTTCTGAATTTCGGAATTAATTATTAACTCTACTAATTAATCAACTTTTAAAAGCAAGTCAAATAAAAAAAGGATACTACTAATAAAATGAGAAATAAAAATAGTCATTATTAAACATGATAATAAGCCCTTAATAACCGAACTCGAGATCTCTTTACGGAGACATGTCGGACCGAAGTGTTTTTGTACAGACCGAGCCCGTAGGACAAGGTTTGTACAAAAAGACAAAAGGCCGATATTTCTCAGTAAAGACAGAAAAAGCGAGGTTAATAAAAGGTTTATTATATGACTTATTTGACATGAAACGAAGCTTGCTTTGTTTCTCGTCTTGGCTATTTTGTGCGGGTTGGCATTCACTTTTATAGTTTTCGTCAGTAAAAATTAAATCGTTTAAAACTGTACCGTCAAATTTTACGATGTTTGTTTAAATTAATATTGAATGAATTCAAATGTTATAATTGTGCTGATGCATGTCTATGAAAGTTTGCCGAAATCACAGGATCACGCGAGCGAAACCATCGGCGAAACTATCTTCTCTATAATTTACCGTTCTTTGTGTAACTATGTTGCTATCTTATGAATTCAATGATGTCAGTGACGTACCTGCCATGAGCAGAGCCATGTGCACCCAAGCTATCAGCTTGCCAGGAGGCACCCTGAACGGTGTTATGAAAATAAAGATAAAAATTGCTTTATCAACATATTCTTTTATGTTTTAAGTGTATCTGCTTTTCCTTAGCAATTCCATTCCACCCTAGTTTTTCTCTGAAATAAATATCATAAGTAGACTTAGACATATCTTAGAAAGACATGTTGAGGTTTCTGAGTGACAAATGTGGTTCCCATTTTTTGAAGACAGCCTATAGAATGTTTGCATGTGACGTCAAAGCGGCCATGTTGGGGAGTACATCATAGTGCTGATTCTCAACAGAGAATGAAATTAACTAAAATTCTTTTCATTATATAAGATCATTAATTTATTGCGCATACATCACAAAACTCCCTTGAAAGAAAGAACTAAAAACAAATTCTGTCCTCATTCAATTTCATATTTGTTTGATAGCTATTGCAGTAGTTTTAACCTTCATGCAAAACATAAAAGTTTACAAGGAGCTTAGTTAACTGTTGTTAAAACTATCAAGCGTCCAAGTCCTATACAAACCTCAACGCCAGTATAATTCCAACTGTGATAAGTATCATGCCTAAATAATAAATCGCCGAGTATCGAACAACATTTTCTGCGGTTCTGCTGTTCAGCGAAACCACAGCATATAAAATACAGATAATGATCAGTGGAATGATACAAGCATTTAGAAGCTGCAAGATCGTTTCTCCCATATCGAGACATAAATATCCTATAAAGATAACAATATCTTTCCATTCATAGACGATAATAGGATTATTTTGAGCAAGGCTTCTAAAGAAATCTCCCATTATGAAACAACAAACCCCGAAAAGGATTAGTACGACAATGTTTTGGCCCTTATTCACTCGACCACCAGATAAATCTACAATTACGCCAGCTTTGAATAGAGAATACACATATAAGGGCAACTTGCGTTGTTAATCTATGATGTTAGTGTGGAGCCCAGACAGTGAACACCATGAATAACTTTTAATTCAGTTCACTGAGCTCAGATTGTTTTGTGCATACCAGAAGTCAAACAGTGGCAATTTTAAAAGCAACGAAACTGGAACGATAACCATACAGTGGTTTATATCAATAGGTGTAACGACAACCTAAGTCTACGATGTATAACAATTTTTATGAATTTACTACAGCATCTGAAAAGCTTCAGAAACATTAAAAACCAACGGCAACATTCAAAATTTCACAGCTACATTTAAAAATACGGCAACATTTTAAAATTTCACGGTAACGTTTGAACATAAAAATCTCACGGCTGAATTTCAGAAACAAATTTTACAAGATAAATCAAAACTATCTTTTATAGTTTATCCAGGTAAGACTACAAAATTTAGATAAGTCTTTTCTCCAAAATTACTACAATACACTGAGTTACTGAGTACAGACTACACAGGTCAGTTCCTTTCCATGGAGATATGGTGGACATGGCAAAGAAAAACTACAATAACTTTGAACAAAATACAGAAATGCCCCGTATTTTTTTGTATGAGATCCAATTATTGCCTCAGGCTTGCTATCAACGCAAATGAACTCGGATCGCTTATGATAAGCATATTCACTCATCAAATAACCATTGTACTCCAAGGTCCATCCTGAAGGGCAAACATTGCGCGCAGGAATCATCATGTGACTACCACGTGACTTAGCATGACACACAGCACAAGGAGCATCTCTGTCGTTTAAGTTTGGATTTGGAAATATATGTTTCTCAGCATTAATAATCTGATATTCAACACCGTGAATAAACCCTGTTTTCTGAATACCAGCAGCATATTTCCCGTATATTGGATTCAATGGTAAACAAAGATAATTTGATCCACTACCACTGTCTTTATAATATGATCCTCCCATTGCTCCTGTTTTTCATAAAATAATACCATAAACTATAGAACTACGACTACTTGATACAACTAAATGATCTTTACAAGATATCTATATATGTACTTATGTCCTTTATGATACACGTATCTTTTGCACATGTTCTTTTAAATTGCGTCAAACATTTACAGTTGAAGCTATTACACTCTCTGAATGTATAAGGACTCTGCCTAGCATATGTCATGAATCTCTCATGCATGGTTTACATAGGAAAAATAAACATAAGCACAGAGCGAAAACAAAATTAAAGCTGCCTCCCCTTTTCCCTTCACAAGGAAGTTGTAATATTGAAAAGTTAAGGAAATTTTAGCATTAGTCGAGCAAAAGAATACGGGAGAAAGAAGATATTACATGCTATTTAATTTCAAGATATCTGTTACTTGATTGTGAGTTGAGAAAAACATTTCCCACCACGGAAATGATAGCTCTCGCATATGTCTATAGCATATATATGACATAAACATCAATAAAAGTGCAAGTATGAAGAAAAGCTCGATCAAAAATTGGGAACGATTGAAGGTTTTAAATATGAAAGCCGATTTTTTGTCCTTGTAAACCTCACAAAAAAAGAAACAGGCGTCTTTTGCTTATTTTACTCTTTTGAACCGCAACTGCTAAATGATGAACAACGATTGCGTGGATTTTTTGAATAACTGTTTCTTACCAGAATAAATTTCAACAGTTTTCGCTGTGTTAGGACAATGTTTTCTTCCCCATCTGGTATAGACCACTCCACCGGTTGACGTGGCTTTACTTTTAGGTCCTGGTGGACCAGCTGGACCAGGTTTTCCCTGCTTACCACGAGGACCTTATAATATTTAACTTTAATATTATCAACTATTGTAAATGATCACATTTTGAGTATTCAATACTTTATGAGTATGGAACACTTTAATCTTTTAAAAGCTTCCAATATAAATTCTATGTCCCATTAGCTATTTAGCTATGTAAGCCTATATGGATAATGGATGCTATATTATATTACATGTCTTTGTTAGCTAAAAAAACGTTTGCTTCTGGCATTTTAATATGTTTTCTGAACTTTTCTCAAAGCAAAATCAGGGATGTATTGCTATCGCTAATTAAGGGGGCTCTTATTCATATACGCATGTTATAAATCTGTAGATAACAATACATTTTAAAAGATATTAATTCAGCATATCATGCATATATGAATAAGAGCCCTTAATAGCAAAACATTCCTGAGCATAACATGCACTTATTGAACTTAACAACAATATGTCATTTGAAATCGTTTATTTATAACGCTTAGAGACTGTTTAAGAATGTTATCAACTTTTGAAAGCGTCAAATTTTTCATAATTTCATAACAATATTTATGATTTTCTTATATCATTTATTTTTTTTTGTGATGAGTAAATGCAAGTGTAACCAGATTATTGTGTTATGTATAAATATGATTATTGTGCTATGTCATACATTCATAGTGGTTAATACGTATTGTGAAATGCAAGTTTTGAAACTTCATGTTTGTTTATTTCGATGTATTGTTGGTGTAATTAATTTCTTTGCATTGCGTTTATTATTTAGCCCATCTAAAAAATAATCTCGAAAAGGGTGCAACTTTTTTCAAAACCAAGAGCACAGGCAATCTAAGATGTTACAAGTCATCTAAATCTATACATTTAGTCACATAATATCAAATCAGTCAGAATAACTATCACACTTTAGCGATGACATTATGCTTTGGCGAATATAATATTAACGCGTCCATACTAAAGCGTAAATAATAAAACTAATTAAAAATATTCCGCGAATAAAAAAGCACAAAGGCTTGAGTGACTCATGCATTTCTTCAACACAATCTGCTACCACACAAAAATACGACAAAAGGAAAATGCATGTATAAAGTTCTGACCATTTCAGAAAAGAGTCTGCTATAAGAATCTCTAATAGATTTTTTACGTTTAGTTTGAATTAAACATCTAAGTAATTAGAATCCATAAAATCAGGATCTGGACTCGTAAATGGCACGCAGCCAAAAAGGTAGTAATTTACTTTATGTGAGTTTATAAGCTATTTTGTCAAAATTGATCAAATAGTTAATTCAACTAAGAAGGGTATAAGAGTTAATAAAACATTTAACGTAGTTTCCAGGAAATACATTTAACCACACATGAAGCACAGATAAAAAGAAAATGACGTCTGTTAAAAAAAACTCACCACGCAATAAAGCATCTCTGCCATCACGTCCTAAATTGGAAGGTTATTTTAGAAAAATTAGATTCAGTAGTAATAGAGCTACGTTGTGGTAGTAAACATTCTCTTAAAATATTTCACGACTTTAAAAGTAAATTATTTTATATAACTCACCATCTCTACCTGGAAGTCCTGGAAGTCCTCGACAACTTGTTATTTTGCCATTCTGTCTCTTAAAAATACTTAACAAACAATTAAAGTCGTAACTATAAAGAAATAATTCGCGACTAGCCTAAATTCAGTGAAACGGGAAACGATTTAAAATATGGAAAGGAGTACAAATTTGAAATAAAAAAAAACTCATAAATCTTTAATTAAGTGCCATACGAAGTAACATTGTGTATTTTCTATCCATGCAAAGTCCGAATGTTGAGAAAATAACCAAGTAAATTTGCTAGATGATTAGTACTCTCTTAGTTAAATCTGTCTGAATCATTTCAAGTTTCTCTAATCTTCAGCTACCAAGGCTTGCGAAATTAAACTTCCTCAAACAATTGAGGAATGACAAAACAAACTCAATAATTCCACTAACATGATACAAGCAGCAAACTTATTTATGAATATATTACTGGGTATGTCTTGATTAAAAAATTAGCTTTATCAAACTTCAATGCAAAATGACGCTCTTCTTTGTTACAAATCCCGAGAACCGTTTATTTGAATTGGCTGGATCAAATTTTCCACCAATGTTTTTATAGCCTATCATTTATAAATATTTTTTGTAATTTTTACATTTGGAAATGCAAAACAGCCCTTGTCAAAGATATGACTGTTATAATGTTAATTTTATATGTGGCTATTGTATTCTATTTAGTCAAAAAGACTTCAAAGCAAAAGAATCATGCAAATCCTTATTTAATGAGTGCGTACAAGTGTACGTGTATGTGTGAGCTAGTATGAGTAGGGAAAATTGTTTTCAACTGGTTAAGATTTTTAGTTCTACTTTTATAGGGTACTTCAGTGCAACCTAAATATTATCAGTAATCGTAAAATATGCCACGTTTCAACACAACATATCGTATCTAAAATATCAATTAATAATACCACAAACCTTTCTTTTGCTTTGTCTTTTAACTTCAACATGGCATTTTTGTCATCATTATAATTGCAGTAAATGACTTTTATTAGAAAAAGTAAAATAATCTGGAGAGTAGCGATGTACATTGTTTTACGTTTTTTATAGGACGAAAACTTATCCTCTCTGTCAGCTATATCAGTTACAAGTAAACTCTCGCAATGCAGTCTGTGATATTTTTAGTCAGTTTCATCCAATCATATGCTTTGTTTTCATATTTCATCCAATCGTTAAGTTCTATCAAATTTATTCAGAGACAAATGAGTGAAATTGCTTTGCTTCAGCTCCACAATGATTTTTCTAGTTAAAACAAGAACTATCCATTGAAACACTGTTTATTTATAATTCTGCGTTGGGCATTGTGTAGCCATAATTAATGCATCAAGTTTGATTTGTCAAGCGTCTCCTTTGTCTTTGATTGGCTCGGTCTTTTGTTTGATTGAAACTTCCTTCAGTTCTTCTTTTCTATTCTTTTAAAAGATTGCAGAGACACTAAGCAGCTGGAGTACTGTGATGTTACAATGTGTATTAAAATATTAATCATGCAACGTCGTTGTTATTATTTTATTAACTTTAAATGAAGGTAATGGTCACTATATTCCTTGTAATGTGTACGCTATATTTTGTTTATGCTGTATATTAAAGATCGTTGAATGTCGATGGTTGTTTATTCATTTAATAAATAGTAAAAAGTTCATACGAGTGAATTTATGTTTAGTGATAATCCCTTCCAATTAACGTTCTAGTTACGCCTCTGCATGTGAGGAAATTTATGTTTACTGGTAATCATTTGCAAGAAGCAATTGGTTATTGGCTTTACGGTGAAGATATATTTGGCGATTAATACTCAGTCAGTAGCGTAGCCTGCCAGCAAATTTTAGTCTCGGAATTTGAAGTTGAGGACATTATAATTATTCATTTTATTAGAAATTTATTCTTTTCATAGTACGTGAACAAAGAAAAATTAACATAGTATCATACGTAGTAAGACTATAGCAGTGGACTACACGGTGTATAAAAAAATTTAACGGATAGGAGAACGTTGCTTATGCTGTCAGCTTGTAGGATTTGCAAAATCCATTGACGGAATGGATTGTTAGACTTTTAATGAATCATCTGACAGTAAAATGTTTGTAAATAGTAACAATTTTTAGAATGAGAGTTGTGTTACCGAGAAGCATTTTGAAATAGATTGCGCACAAAATGACTTAGTTAAATAGCAATTTGAACTCATAAGGTTAAAATATGGCACATATTCTTCAAGCCAAAACATTTTGCAAAATTTGTCAAAAATATAAAAGAACGCTAAGCAAACCTTTATTAATTATACATATTTCATTATTTTGATTATCTTTAGCTCAAATTTATGCATAATTCATGAGGAGTATGAAATAGCAACCCAAAAAATATATATTCAGCAGTTTTGAACAACGAGCCATATTTGAATCTGTGTTTTGTAATTGCTTTTAAATGTCTCATTTTCGTGCGCAAGCTATTTTAAAACTTTAGAAGGTAACACAATTCTCATTTTGAAAATTGATATTGTTGGCGATAATTTCACTGTCAGATAGACCATTGGTCCAACTATTTCTAACAAATGTTTTTGCAGATCTGGCAAACAGATGACTTTAGTGACGTTTTCCAAACTGTTCAGTTTTTTTGATAGACCTTGTAGTAGCCACGCCAATCTAATTACCCCAATCCTTGCTAATAAATTGATGTCCTTTTAGTACTCAATTATAAATATAAATAGTTAACAAGAAGATAAGAACATTGCATGGTTTACGTATAATTTCATATTCTGTAAATATTTCATTAAAAAATAAAACATGTAACCGTGTTTTCACAAGCTTATGAAAATCATGGATACTTTTGGGAGAACTAGAGATCGAAGGTTGACATTGATTTAATTGATAGTGATCAAATTGTTTTGCACACTGAGGCTATAGTAAAACAAGCTAGATCAACCAGTGCACGCGATTTATTGTTTTTATTTTATAAAAAAGAATCGGTGATCATCGAATTTGACTTAAACTTAATGTCAATTTCATCTTAGTATACTGTAAAAAATAAACTAAAAAGTTTGGTGTTAGCATAGACAAAAATGTGCGACAGTAATTTTATGTGTGTGAGTGTGTGAGAAATAGCCACAGTTTTTGAGAGTAGCTGCTGCGCATGCGCAGATTAATATCATCTGTTAAAAATTGTCTATCTTGCTGCATATTTTGGCTATCTTTTGGCAATTATAGAATAAGCAAATGACCATGGGGTTATAACCTTTCAAGTGACAACCTTTTTATTGATAACGCCTTGTCATTCTAATGAAAGATCGTGGACTCAATGATGATTTCAATATTCCATGTGTCCAAATATTTTAGAAGTAGTGCATACTACATGGTCGTAAGTTGAAGATTCCTCTAAATTTTGGGTAAGTCATTGTTTATAGACAAAAGATGACATTCAAAGTTTTGTTGTCTCTTACAGACACAAGAGTTGTTCAAATGTAATTAATTTCTCTTATAAAACACAAGCTGGTTCGTCTTCGCTGAGCTGACATTAAAGTACTCTTTTTCCATGCAGAGCAAAGCAAGCTCTAAATTTTAAACAACAGCTGTTGAGTACGATTGATGGATAGTAGTCTCCTTGCTAATTGGCTATTGACTTGTGAGTTACCTTACTGTTGTCTTAATAAAAAGTAGAAAAAATGTGAAAGTAGTCACGGTGTTGCAAGGCTCGGTTCTAAGAGGAAAGGACACCAAACTTGCATTTTACATACTTGAATTATTTAAACCAATATTCGTAAATATTTTGTAAGTACCTGTTTCAGATATCGACCCACTATTGAAAAAGGGAAAGAAGTAACTTTACAATTTGCTCCTGGATCTTGTTTTTATCTGATAGGGAAAGGTAGTTGTTAATTTTATAAGACAGGTGACAGAAAGGATTACCTGTAGAGCCCTCCCTCCCAGTTTAATTTAAGATTTTGAATATTTATTGAGTGATTTTCCATTACTTCAAAGGTTGGGATCTGGCGTCCCACCTCACCAATTTTGTTTATGCAATGAGCATTAAAAGGTGAACTCGTATTTATGAAAGCTTTTAAAGCAAATGTTTCTGTCAGTAACTACTGAAAATGTTTATTGGGATGCTGTTCTTTAAGTGACTATCTTCTTTCTGTAGTTTGAACATTGCATGTGGCTTCTTAACACTTCGTGATATGCGTTTTTTGTATTATTTGGTTTGTAAGCAGTGATGTTGTCATACAGTAATTCAAAATAGGTACGCATTGTGTACATGCTTTATATGGTGCTCGGTGGAGATTTGTAAACAGTGATGATGGCATACAGCAGTTCAAAATAGGTACGTATTGTGTACATGTGGGTAGCCTCACAAATTTATAGACACAATGAAGTAGAATATTATAGTAGTTGAAATAATTATAAATATTTAATATTCTTTACACCAAATTTGTTCAAAATCTGAAAAACTTTTTTGTGCTCGCTGTTCATTGAAATTACCCGACAACTGTCAAAACTTTTGCATTTCTTAAATGTTATGGCTCAGACTGCATGTCAGAAAACTGTGACGTAATTCATATTGTAAAAAATATCTTGCAAACTCTAAGAACAAATACGTGTCATTTTCATTGAAAATGGTTTTTGCAATAGACATCATACACACTAATCCCATGTAAAGTATTATATTTTGAAATTGGTCGTTCTTTAGTCGATATGACAATATGTATTAATAAGTGTAGATATCAAAAAATAAATTGACCTGATTCTTATCAACGCAAAGTACATGCGAACATTAAATTTTTCAAAGGTAACAAAACGGCTCAAAGCAAATAACAAAACCTTCAAACTAAAAAAAACACGCTGGCAACTTCAGCCATTTCTCTTTGCTTTTGTCCTCAGGAAATTACGTTAATTAATTCCAGGATAAAATATTTTCCGTAAAATCAGAAAATAGGCATAGCGAGATATCTTTCGAACAGGCTAACCAAACACTACAAATTAAACTTTTTCATAACCAATCACAAGTGACATTGGTAAAAAGATGTTTCAGAAAATATCAGACGATTGTGCACTTTGCCTTTACCATGAGTACCATGAGATAAAGACAAAACTATAGATAGACAGTCATCATCTGTGCAAAACGTTTACTACATAAAAAGATAACAAGTCATAATTTCTTGGAGATTAACAATTATTCTTGTATTTTCATCATAGAACTTATGAGCATGTAAGAATATTTAAAGGAAAATAATGGTGACGTCATAGACATGTTATTATTAGTAAATTAAAAATTATGTTTTATTTGTGTTGATAAAGCTAATGGCAAAATACGTACATATGTGCATTAAGCCCAATAAATCACTGAGTACAGATTACACAGGTCAGTTCCTTTCCATGAATATATGGTGGACAAGGTAAAGCAACACCACAATTGCCTTTAACAAGATACAATAATGCTCCATTTGCATGAGATCCAAGTATTGCTTCAGGCTTGCCATCAACACAAATGTACTCAGATCGCTTGTGTTCATGATGTGCAGCCATTAAATAACCTGTTTATTCCATATTCCAACCTGAAGGACAGATGATGCGCGCCGGAATCATCATGTGACTACCACCTGACATAAAGTGACATACAGCATACGGAGCATCACGGCCGTGTAAGTTTGGATTTGAAAATATATGTTTCTCAGCAGAAGTAATCTCGTATTCTGTACCATAAATGGTTGCTTGACTATGAGCAACAGCAGCTTATTTTTCGTATATTGGATTCAATGGTAAACAGAGAGAATTTGCTCCACCTCCACTGCTTAAATAATGTGATCCTCTTAATGTACCTGTTTTTCAAAAAAATATGCTTTAGAACGGCAACTAATGAATACGACTACTTGTTTTTTACAAGAACATAGGTTATTATACAAAGGTCGATTCTCGTATATTACGTCGAACATTTACGGTTAAAAAGAAATATGACAGTCCAGTTTTAGATTCTGAGCGCATAAAAAATTCTAATGAGCATATTTAATAAAATTCTTATTCCTGATTCACACGAGTAAAAGATGCAAAATCAAGAGCGTTAACAAGATTAAACAACGACATTCATCAAAGCATTTGACATAGGCGTAAGGAGGGGAGGCGCTGTAAAAAGGTTTGATGATTGGTCGGGTGAATTGTCAACATTAGCAGGTCGGGCAAAAAAACAAGTGATAAAGAAGTTATGACATGAAATTTGAAGTCAAGAAGTCTGTTATTTGATTGTCAGTTGATGCAAGCATAAAGGAAAAATTTCATCTTAACACAAATAGAAAGCCGATTTTTTTGTTATTTAGACCATTAGAGGATATTCAAAATAGGAAATTTAAATTTATCACTTTATTCTTATTTTACTTGTTTAAACCTATACTGGTTGTAGCTAAATCATAAATCGCAATTACGTTAATTTTTCTGATTAACTTTTATAGTTTCTAATTTGTTTATGAAAGCAAATGCAAGACTGATAATTTAGTCTCAAATGATCATTTGACTTCCATGTTAATAAACAACTGAGTTGTTTGCTCTGGTCTGAGATTATATCACAACAATAAATGCAATTGGTATCTATAAAGTTCGTCAACTGACTTGTGTCTCTATTTTTTATCACGTAACTGGTCTTGTTTGTCAAGTACCTGACTTTCTACCATACCTATGGTATAATGCACAAACCATCTCAGTATTTGCTAAAAGGACGTGCAAACATTGTTGAACTTTTAAAGGAACTTTCTCCGTAAATTGCCTTTCAATATCTCAATAGCGATTGCGTTACTTCAATTGAGCAAAACACCCGGTTTGACTGTAAAATGATGATCACAAATTATGTCGTCAAGATAATTTGACTTCTATGTTTGAAATAGCGTAGCTTGGAGCTTGGCCATTTTCGACAAATGAAAATTGTCTCCTTTGTACGTGCAATCCTCAACCATGTCCCTCTGTTTTAATGAGTATATACGTAGTTTAAACTGAATCGTTGGCAATGTACTTCTATTACATAAAGATATTCAGAAAGTAGCGAAAACAATGTATAATATTATTTAGACGGTTTTCATCACTTCATTTCACGACATTGCCATCTAATCATTAATTCAGGTTATCCACATGTACGCTGTACGCACCTTTTTTAATTTTACTTTCATAAAAGTAAAATCTACAGCTGCTCTTTTGTTTCATTTGCAGCAAAAACAGGAGATGCTTGTGAAAACAGCCCTCGAATCATTTATCTGGAAGTCGGTTTAAAAAATGAAGAAGTATCTTCACATTTTAAACATTTTTTGAAATATGTGCAAGAAGAAAAACAATTACAGCAGTTTTTTGTAACATTGCAGTGTTATGGAAAATGGAAAAAAGACAGATTGAAAACATTTAACCATTTTCGTAATAAATACCCAGAATTAGTGACGTATGTACCTTTTCAAGATGATGACGTCATGACAGCTTGCAACAAGCAGCATCCAAATTTTCTTATCAACATTGTTTGGAAGATAATCGTCTCTAGAACTGGTGATGTTAAACCAACATTTGCTATGCAGGCTGTCATACCAACAAAACATGATAACGGTAATTTTCTTAAGAATATGTTGAAAAGTGTAGGTATAGAAAAATCAATTGAGGTAATACTCCTTACCATGACAGAATAAGTGGAGGCGATGTTGCCGGGGTTTTTTTTACAATAAATTTGTCATAAAAAATATGTAGATAAATCTTATTAATATTTTGAATTTGCCTTAAAAACGGCAAGGTTGTTCATTAACTTAATTAGTGTAGCTACCATGGGACAAACTTCAAATCACTTTTAACCGCAACGTTTTATAGAAGAGAAGAAAAAGATAAAAGTAAAGTCTCCAAATTTAAACGTGTGCGCAGACTCTTACTTCCAAGAGAAATTGCATCTGCGGTCTGTGCAACTTTCTGCGCCTGTTTATTTCCGACTTGAGCACACTAATATTTAAATGCATGACTGCAATTGGAAGTAATGTAAGGATTGCTAAATTAAGTGTCGATATTTTGTTTTCCATCACCATTTCTACTGCATGTTAGTTTCTAAATATTGGGAAAAATGACAAGTTGTATAGTTCTGCCATTTCTACACACTTTGGTTTTCGAATCAATCGAATTTCGATCTGTTGCCTTTGAAAACAGCTTAAAGGACAGGACTGGAAGGCAAGTTAACAAAATTCTTAAACTATACAAAGAACACTCTGACTATTTCTCCTTTAGTTGCGGCTTTTTGGAAAATTGGTGTTTTGTCCTCGTCGTATTTCGTTAAATAATCTTGCTTAAAATATTCTCCCTAAAATCTGAAGAAAAAAGGCCTAACAAGCTTTCCCCTCGAACAGGCTGACCAAATACTGAAGAGTAAACTTCTGCATATTCAATCACAAGTGATGTTGGTAAAAAGAGGTTACAGAAAATAACAGACAATTATACACTTTGTCTTTACCATGAGTACCATGTGATAAAGACTGAATTATAGATAGACGTCATCTGTGCAAAACGTTCAGAACTTACGTTTACTACATATAAAGAAAGAAAGTCATTAATTGTTGGTGAACAACATTTCTTCTTGTATTTTTATCATTGAACTTAAGTGCATGTAAGGATATTTAAAGGAAAATAATGGTGACGTCACTGATGTGGTTATTAGATAAAATATAATGCCAAAATACGTACATATGTGCATTAAAATCCTTAAATCACTGAGTACATACTACACAGGTCAGCTCCTTTCCACCGACATATGGTGGACATGGTAAAGAACCACAATGGCCTTCAACAAAATACAGCTATGCTCCATTTGTATTTGCATGAGATCCATGCATTGCCTCTGGCTTGCCATCAACACAAATGTACTCAGATCGCTTGTGAGTATGAGCTTCAGCCATTAAATAACCTTTGTATTCCATATCCACCCTGAAGGACAGATATTGCGCGCTGGAATCATCATGTGACTACCACGTGACTTAGCATGACATACAGCACACGGGGCATCTCGGTTGTGTAAGTTTGGATTTGGAAATATATGTTTCTCAGCAGAAGTAATCTCGTATTCAGTACCATGAATGATTGCTTTACTCTGAAAACCAGCAGCGTATTTCTCGTATATTGGATTCAACGGTAAACAAAGATAATTTGCTCCACTACCACTGTGTGTATAATACGATCCCGCGATTGCTCCTGTTTTTCATAAAAATATGCTTTAGAACGGCAACTAATGAATACGACTACTTGGTTTTTACAAGAACATAAGTTATGATACAAAGGTTGATTCGCGTATATTAGGTAGAACATTTGTTCTGATTGTTGAAATGCTTATGTCTGATTCACACGAGTAAAATAAACAAAATCAAGAGCATTAACAAGATTAAAAAACGACATTTATCAAGGCATTTGACACAGATGTAAGGACGAGGGGAGCCGCTGTAAAAAAGTTTGATGATTGGTCTGGTAAATTGTCAACATTAGCAGGTCGGGCCAAAAAACAAGTGATAAAGAAGTTATGACGTGAACTTTGAAGTCAAGAAGTCTGTTGTTTGATTGTGAGTTGATGCAAGCATAAGGAAAAGACTTCATCTTAAAATAAATAGAAAGCCGATTTCTTTGTTTTGAAAACATTAGAAAATACTCAAAATAGGAAACAGAAGTTTTATCGCTCATACATGCTTATTTTACTTGCTTAAACCTATACTGGTTGTAGCTAAATCATGAATCGCAATTACGTAGATTTTTTTACCAGAATAAATCTCAACAGTTTTTGCTGTGTTAGGACAATGTTTTCTTCCCCATCTGCTGTAGACCACTCCACCGGTTGACGTGGGTTTACTTTTAGGTCCTGGTGGCCCAGCTGGACCTGGTTTTCCCTGCTTACCACGAGGACCTTATAATATTTAACTTTAATATTAGCACCTTTGACTGTATGAAGCCTAGACAGGAGTAGTTTTCAAATGTCCTTTACACACGGTGAAATAAACGACTTTTAGAAATTAGGGGGCTTATAGGAACCCATTGGTGTCCAGACAACCACAATTTGTAGATCGTGGGGTTCGCTTACATAAAGGACACTTAAAAATTGGTTTCTTAATTGAACGTTTATCATATATGAATGAATACCACCTTTTTGAAGGTGCACTCATTTTTTAAAATCAACAGATCACTCTAACATGATGCAGGTAAAAACTGAATAAAAATATCTAACATCAAAAAGTTTCATTACAGGTTTAACTATTGTAAATGATCATATTTTGAGTATGGAACACTTTAATCTTATAAAATCTTCCAATATAAATTCTATGTGCCATTAAATATTTAACTATGTAAGCCTATATGGATAATGGATGCTAAATTATATTACATGTCTTTGTTAGCTCAAAAAACGTTTGCTTCTGGCATTTTAATATGTTTTCTGAACTTTTCTCACAGCAAAATCAGGGATGTATTGCTATCGCTAATTAAGGGGGCTCTTAATCATATATACATGTTATAAATCTGTAGATAACAATACATTTCAAAAGATATTAATTCAGCATATCATGCATAAATGAATAAGAGCCCTCACCTAACTGGCGATAGCAATACACCCTAGCAAAACGTGCATTTATTGAACGTAACAACATGTCATTTGAAATCGTTTATTTATAACGCTTAGAGACGGTTTAAGAATGTTATCAACTTTTGAAAGCGTCAAATTTTTCACAATTTCATAACAATATTTATGATTTTCATATATCATTTATTTTTTTGTGATGAGCAAATGCAAATGTAATGAGATTATTGTGTGATGTCATACGTTCATAGTGGTTCATAGGTATTGTGAAATGCAAGTTTTGAAACCTCATGTTTGTTTATTTCGATGCATTGTTGGTGTAATCAATTTCTTTGCATTGCGTTTATCATTTGACCCTCTAAAAAATTATCTCAAGAATAGTGCAAATTTTTCCAAAACCAAGAGCACAGGCAATCTAAGATGTCACAAGTCATCTAAATCTATACATTTAGTCACATAATATGAAACCAGTCAGAATAATCATCGCACTTTAGCGATGGCATCATGCTTTGCCGAATAAAATATTAACGCGTCTATACTAAAGCGTGAATAATAAAACTAATAACTCATTAAAAATTTTCCCCGAATAAAAAAGCACAAAGGCTTGAGTGACTCATGCATTTCTTCAACACAATCTGCTATCACACAAAATACGACAAAAGGAAAATGCATGTATAAAGTTCTGACCATTTCGGAAAAGAGCCTGCTATAAAAATCTCTAATAGATTTTTTACGTTCCATTTGAATTAAACATCTAAGTAATTAGAATCCATAAAATCAGGATCTGGACTCATAAATGGCACGCAGCCAAAAAGGTAGTAATTTACTTTATACGAGTTTATAAGCTATTTTGTCAAAATCGATCAAATAGTTTATTTAGCTAAGAGGGATATAAGAGTTAATAAAAGATTTAACGTAGTTTCCAGGAAATACATTTAACCACACATGCACTACAGATAAAAAAAATGACTTCTGTTAAAAAAAACTCACCACGCAATGAAGCATCTCTGCCATCACGCCCTAAATTGTAAAGTTATTTTAGAAAAATTAGATTCAGTAGTAATAGAGCTACGTTGTGGTAGTAAACATTCTCTTAAAATATTTCACTACTTCAAAAGTAAAGAATGTTGTATAACTCACCATCTCTGCCTGGAAGTCCTGGAAGTCCTCGACAACTTGTTACTTTGCCATTCTGTCTCTTAAAAATACTTAACAAACAGTTAAAGTCGTAACTATAAAGCGATAATTCGCAGCTAGCCTAAATTCAGTGAAACGTGAAACGATTTAATATATGGAAAGGAGTACAAATTTGAAAAAAAAAGCGCCATACCTAGTAATTTTGTGTATTTTCTATCCATGCAAAGTCCGAATGTTGAGAAAATGCCCAAGTAAATTTGCTAGATGATTAGTACTCTCTTAGTTTAATCTGTCTGAATCATTTCAAGTTTCTCCAATCTTCAGCTACCAAGGCTTGTGAAATTAAACTCCCTCGAACAATTGAGGAATGACGAAACAAACTCAATAATTGGGGGTACAAAAAGAGTTCAAAACAAAAAAATCATACCAATCCCTATTTAATGAGTGCGTACTAGTGTACGTGTATGTGTGAGCTAGAATGAGTACGGAAAAATGTTTTCAACTGGTTACGATTTTTAGTAGTTCTTTTATAGGTTACTTCAATGCAACCTAAATATTATCAGTAATCATAAAATATGCCACCTTTCAACACAACATATCGTATCTAAAATATCAAATGATAATACCACAAACCTTTCTTTTGCTTTGTCTTTTAACTTCAACATGGCATTTTTGTCATCATTATAATTGCAGTAAATGACTTTTATTAGAAAAAGTAAAATAATCTGGAGAGTAGCGATGTACATTATTTTACGTTATTTTATAGGACGAAACTTCTCCTCTCTGTCAGCTATATCAGTTACAAGTAAACTCTTGCAATGCAGTCTGTGATATTTTTAGTCAGTTTCATCCAATCATATGCTTTGTTTTCATATTTCATCCAATCGATGGCTGCCCTCGAATTTATTCAGAGGCAAATGAATGAAATTGCTTTCCTTCAGCTCCATAATGATTTTTCTAGTTAAAACAAGAACTATCCATTGAAACAC